CTATATAAGATACCAGTAGAAGTTTGTTTAGAAGAACCCATAATGATCACGAAGAAGCAAAAAAACATCACTTTCGCTGCGAATGAAGTTAAAGAGCATTTATATCTAATTGTAAGTATTTCCATCAAATACAAATATCTTGAAACTAACAGTTTTAATATAACTGCTTCTACAATCTTTTATATAAATTTTTTTATAGCCTTTCGTTTATTTGTGTTTCCACATCATACCGAAAGCTATACGTAACCAATTTATTAAATACACGTCCTCAAGGATTGTATTCGATGGGGAGGTTCTTTCTTCGGACCATACCATCTCCTTGGAACCATTCACGACGGAATTGCTTGGCAGCTCCGTCAGGAGTGTTGCACCATTCGACGGTAATACGGTCGTTGTTGGTGTCCTCACGTCCGTAGTCGAACACATCACAGGAGACAGCCATAAGGGTGGCCTCCTTGGGGTCGAGCACACCACAGGCAGGATCCACACCAAGTCTCTTCATGTTGGTGGTCTTGATGGCCCATCCAATACGTCGGCCGGAAGCGTTGATGATCTTGATGTGGTAGGTGTGCTTGTCGTCGTACGGCGCGTTGAAGACGATCTTCGAGTTAGGCTGAGTGTTGATGTCGCCAGGAGGAACTGAGGCCATTCTTGCTACATTTGCTACCATTCTTTTATATGAATGTTCACGACAGTGAAAGGAATACTAGGAAAGAATTGAATGAAAGTTTTGTGCGTTCAGAAAATCTTTGCTAAATCAAGGGATATTTGACCACTCTGGCTGCCATGTGGTTTATAGTTATGCTAATGTATTATCTATAGAATGAATACAAAAAACTCGAGAAGAAGGAGCGCAAGCACAATAAAAATGAATGACATAGTTCTGACGCGCATGCGCGTCAGCCTGTCGTCAACGTGTTAAATAGTTGCTTACTGGTTCCAAATTAAAGGACGAATTCACGATGAAAAAGCAACCCATTTCAAATTAAGTTAGGATGGTGAGTGGTACACGAAAGAAGGAAAAACCATGAGAAACGGCCCAGAACCCGAGAAATGGGACCCCTTCCTTGCCCGTTGATTTGAGCATTGATGCGACTCTCATCGCTGTGCCCTCTTCAACACTACGCTCTCTGCTATCTAATCACTCGCCACGTATAGACCTGCGGCGAGTGATCAGATGGTCGGTGGGCGTACCCGCCAACCGCGCCAAGAGTGAGCCATGCTGGATCGCCGAGGTCAAATCTTTCGCTGCGTTCGCACCCTCAGGAGGTCCGCCGGTCTCTCAACTAGGTGAATTACTCTTCTTCGACCTTCGTTCTTATCGTGAATTCGTCCTTTAAGTTTAGCTTTTCATGGTAACACATACCATCACTTGTAGCACCACGTGTTGAGCCGGTTAGCCGATATCAGCAATGACCGCGAGACAGAAATGCTGAGTTGGATGAAATGGTGCCCCGGTAGCGTAACTGGTAGCGCACTTGCCCGGAAAGCAAGAGGTGCGGGTTCGAGTCCCGTCTGGGGCGAAAGTTTTGTTCACAACCCAGCATTCTTGTGAAACATTCGCAAGGCGAACTGCCAAAAACAGCAGTTAACAAACAAAAACAGACCATAGCTTTCAATGTGATTAATGCCTTCCGGATCTCACTCTCATTTCACATCGTCATATGTTGCATTATTACAGTTGCGATCATTCCCGGTGTTGCCGTGCCAAGAAGTAATGACCTCTTCAAGCTGTTTGGTCAGATATTTGGAGGAGGCAACGGAGCGAGCAACGCAATCGGATCATTTATTAATGGTTAATGATATGCCTCTCTTACGTCTCTTCTCTCTAATATTTTCATTCCTACGAGTGCTATAAATATTTATTGTATTGTGCTGCTATCTGTTAGACAGCTGGTTAGTCGTAAGAGTTGGATAGAAGAGTTACCAGACTAGGACAGAATGGTACAGGGTGTCTACAAATTACGAAACTGGAGCAGGCGAATGCAACTTCAAAAACCCTGAAACTGGAGGTCGGGGGGGGGGGGGGGGGGAGCACAGTGTTGTACTCTTCACTGTTGAAGATAAAAGTAGAGCGTTCATGTCAGGTTATGAACATTTGAAATATGATTTTGATAAGTCTAGTGAATATGGAAGTACTTTTGAGGTTCTTCTGCTTCTTGACCAGCAAAGGTTGCAGGAAATGGTCGTGAACCAGTGGAATGAGAATGGACATTCTTGCCGGCGTGAGGGTTGGGAGGCTCCAGAGTGGATGACCAGATGCAAAATTTGGGTAGGATGTGAGCAGACCGTGGGATGTGCGGCATTGAGCGCTCCTTACCAAAAGTTCACTTCGAATGAGCCGTTTAGGTATTATCTTTCCTACCCTTAGTGAAAGAGAGCGCTCCCTAGTAATAAAGATTCGATAATAAGGAGTGCCCCAAACTTCATTTTCACCTTAGAAGCCAAATAGAGAATTTTCACGGCAGGTCAGGGTATCAGAAAGCCCTACAATATTAACGCCCGTGAGTGCAGGAAAGCCCTATTCTCAACAGCCCGTCTGCGATGAACTTACTTGCCTAACACGCCGCGGTGAATGGGTTGCCCGGACTTGTCAATGTGAACGTCGACCAATTTGAGAAGTAAATTAGTACTTTTTCTGTTAGTCTCCTTAAATGTGGTTGTTTTCCGGTTGTCTTTTACGCGCTCAGATTTTTCCGTGATCACCCGTTGTTACCGTAATCCGTGGCCGCCCTGTAGAACGAAATCAGTGGATAAAATGAGACGTTTAATGCTTGAGGCATCTTAGGAACGCAATTACATCTCTGTTCCCCATCCGCTAAACTGTTCTACAAAGAAAGTTGCGCAGTTTTTTTTTCTCATCTTGAACCTTTAACCAAGCATTAGTAATTGCCATGCTTGGTTCTCTATGGACCTCGGCATATGAAGAATGGAGACAGCTTAATAGTCCTTGTTTGAATTAAAGGACATTATTTTAAAACTCTACTGGCCAACTGTTGCGCTATATCGCTTTTTGGAGCCTAAAGGAGGAATATCGAATAGTGAAGTCAGTCATATTCCCACCTTTCCCAAGCCTCGTCGTCAGTTGATGCATCACCCAAACACCAGGGAATGAATTTGCATTCCTTTCGCAGAACCCTAGGTCATCCAATGTTAATCACAGTATCGGAAGTCTACGAAAGCACCGCAGTCATCCCCGCGCTATTGATAAACATTCCTCCCTTAGGTTCATTTTTGGATTCCTGACATGAACTTCAAGTGCTTCCCAAGTTTTCCGTGCGAACATTTGTGTTTCATAGGGACCAAAACTACGACAAGCAGGAGTTTCAGGATACCAGTACATCTGACCAGCACTGCTGATAACAGCCTAGTGTTCAGAATGAAGAATTATAGAATCGACGTATTCTGCGTGCTTTTTCTTTCTTTCGCTGTGGATCGCTATTGACAAATTGATAGGTTGACGTAATCTCCTATCATTTCTCAGTCGCAGTTCCTTTCCTCACTAACTTAGAACCTCGAATTGAAATTTTCGACTTGTAGACGCTATTTTCTCTCCAATAGCTGTCCCATGTTTTCTAATGTTGCGGTAAAATTCGTTCTGGCTAGAAATTGCCCTAACCTGGAACGAAGGAATCCGATAACCCTTGCATCCTTGCAAACATAATTTGAAACTTATCACTTCCAAACATTCCATAGCTGTTCTGTGAAAATTCTCCTCCTATCACTTGCAAACATTCCATAGCCCTTCTGTGAAAGTTCTCCTATCGCAAGAAACGACTACGTTCTCCCGTACGATCTCTTCCTTTGCAGCAACACCCCCTCAAAACCCCAAAAACGACCGCCTCTTACCAAGAAGTTGACGCCAAAAGTATTCCCTGCATCTGTTCGATTATTTAAAAGAAAGGGAAAAATGTAAATGGGTGTTCAGAAACTCAAAGGATGTCACTACGAGGAACCAGGTGTCTTAACGGCGAAGTTTATTAAGGACCAAACGGGAGAATTTACGAACATGGTCAACTCCTTGACAACAACACTGTATGGCAGCCTTCACAACTAACTAAACACAAAACTTATAAATAACTATGTCAAGAGTACATACTATTACTGCATAAAATATATCTCGTTGACCAAACCTTACTGCACAAGCATGACAAGAGCTTAGAAACAGATCTAAGCTCAATGGAAAAAACAAGAAGGAAAACTACTCTTCTAAACTCCTAGCTTTCAGTAACGTCCCATCATATTTTTAAACAAAAGCGTCCACATCAAAAACGGATGTCGCCTTTGTAATCGACTGTCGTAGAGATTGTAGCCGAACTAAAATACTGACATTATAATATATAATACATAGTATAATAAATAATAAGTGACAAGAAGTGCATAACGCAACTATAACATGTCCAATTATCTACTCATAACGTTGCTACAGTGGTTGTAAATGACACAAAAAAAATCAAATCAGTTTGGTGAAAGAATAAAAAATAGAATAAAAAAGTGAAAAAATGTTATTAAGCAAGAGAGCTCACTTTGGATCACTAAACAGTTTTGGTAGCAGCGGCTACATTTCTGTGCATTCCAGAATTTGCAAAGTGGGTTTCTATTATTCCGCTCAGCCCCTTCAAATTAACAGCTTCTTATCAACACATGGCACCAGCTCGGACAAACTAGCAATCTATGAATGTAACGTGGATCTAGCGGTGCAGTCAAAATATGCTTCCTGGAAGGTGAAATAGTTATACTTAGGGAAAGGGAGTAAAAGGGTGGTCCTGTTATTCTGCTCATCACTGTATGACGAGGACATATGTGTTTGCTTCCAACTAACAACTCCAAAACTTTGCTCTGTGAACATCAGAGACATTTCGAACTATTTCTGCTATTTGCCTTTGTACGGAAACCCTTTCTTCTTTATCACTCATAAAAGCATATTAACCCCTCTTTCAGATTCATCGCTATAGAGAGATAAAGGTAATCGCTCGCCACAAAAGCATTAAGAAGGCAGAGAAACAATGGTCAGATAGTAAAAATAAACCGTAGTTAACAATAAATATGCGAGAAAAACGGGTAAAATCCTTCTACTTTATAAACCGCTTACTTGGTATGCCGGTTTGAGCTATCAATGTTTTGTAGCAGGATAGTTGTGATAACACTCTTAGGGCTATATAAACACCTGCTTAGCACACTTCCGTTCATTCCACATGGTGCTGCAGTGGCAGCTGGAGGGCAGTGGAGGAAGGGAGGATGGGAGGGAGGCGGGAAATCTACCGTCACGTCATGATTGTTGCGATGCCCTCTACTATATGAATCCCGTTTTTGTTGCATATATAGAGTGTTACACCACTGGAACGTGCTACGATTAACAAAGCGTGCCGATACGCTGTGAAGGAGTCGATTAAGCGATACAAAGACACTCGACTGAAGGAAGCGGCAGAAGTGAGAGCGAGCCTCAAGCGATGTCGTCGGGACATAAGTGACTCTCGCTCGATCATAACTGTCATGAGAGACGCGATGGGGAGACCGCAGACATCGAGAACGAAGATTGAGGAGATTGCCGTCAGCTTCTATACGGACCTCTTCCGATCGACGACACCGGTTTCCCGTATCCCTACACCAACACAAGAGGTGGCTCCGCGGATAGAAGAGTGGGAGATAGAGCACGCCTTACGTCAGATGAAGCCGAGAAAAGCACCCGGACCGGACCGCATCTCAGTGGACTTTCTGAAGTCGGCGTCCTACACTGTCATCAAGCAGCTCACCAAGCGCTATAATAAGTACCTGGACGAGCAGAAGATCCCGGACCAGTGGAAGACGTCAAATACGGTGCTTTTGTTCAAGAAAGGCGAGCGCGATCAAATGAAGAACTATCGTCCCATTGCGCTCCTCTCACAGTTGTACAAGCTGTTCACGAAGATTATTCTAAACAGACTGGAAAGACAACTGGACGACTATCAACCAGTGGAGCAGGCCGGGTTCCGCAAGGGCTTCTGTTGTATGGACCACATCCACACCGTCACGCAGCTGATCGAGCGGACCAAAGAATACAAGCAGCCACTCCTTCTCTGCTTCATCGACTATGCGAAGGCATTCGACAGTGTGGAGCTCAACTCTGTCTGGAACGCATTACACCATGCAGGCGTCGACCCGTGCTACATCAACCTGCTGGAACAATGCAACACGGACACATTCACCACCATCCGCTTGTTTCAACGAGAGCTACGCGTGCCGATTGAAAAAGGAGTCAGGCAAGGTGACACGATCTCTCCCAAGCTATTCACCGTCACCCCATCAACCGGCGCGAGCTTTACAACTGGGATCATAAGCATCGGGACATTAGACGCAATAAGTTTCTAACTTTCAGCTTCGCAACACCATCGTCCATCATCATCGAGATCAAAAGGAATGCAGCAGATGTGGGGAGTTGCTATCGAAGCCATTGCCTCATATAAACCGAACAACAATGGTCATAGCGTAACGAAGAAATCGTCACTCTATATCTCGAGGCGCCCGCAACTCCTCGGACACCGAGGCTATGACCTTGTTTTGTCGACTCATCTCCGTGGACAACAACTTGCGCGCAGAGATCATGAGGCGCAAGAAATGCGCATGGACGGCTATGGGAAGCATCAGATGCGGCTCAGCTCATCTCGGACAAGAAGATACGAGCCGACCTATTCAACTCTACGGTACTGCCCGCACTCTGCTACGCATCCGAGACGTGGGCGGAGAACAAGACGTCTACGATGATGTTGACTCGCGCACAAAGAGCGCTGGAGCGGACATTGCTGAACATTAACCGCCGGGAGCAGAGAAGCCGCAATTTGCGCAGCACAGACATGCGCTTAATGTCTGGTATCCGTGACGCCGCAGTGTATACGTGGGACGCAAAGAAACGATGGGCCGGACATGTGGTCAGACGCATGGATGATCGGTGGACCACACGCGTTACGTTCTGGTATCCACGAGACGTGAAGCGCACACTTGGCCGTCCTGCAACACGATGGAGAGACTCCCTGAAGAAACTTCAAGAAGATGCGGGCCAACACTGGGCCCAAACCGCTCAAGATCGTCAAAAATGGAGGGAAGCGTGTGCTCGCCGCTGAGGATCATCGGCTGACAACGAGCATCCAAGTATCCAAGTAAGTATATAGAGTGCACCTGCGGCACCAGCGCCCTGTGAGACGTCAACTCCACGAGATGCTGGTGCCGCAGGGTGAAGGGACCACAGCGGAAGACGTGAAGTCTACGCAGGGAAGGAAGGTCCCAGCGGTTGACGCGGCGGTGACCAATCTAGTGTAGTAAAATTCAGAAACAAAGAAAGTAATGGTAGGAAAGAGCTAAGAAAAACTACCAGTAACAAAGAATAAGTACGAGTGATTTCACATCGAACGTACCTTGTTTGTGTTCTTCATAAGATAATTCACAACAGAGGAAGTTGGAGCGAACGCCCTGCGAATAGTGCGCGGTACGTCAGGCAACAGTTGTTTTGAAGCAACAAGATGAACAGACGCTACCTGAACGGATTCTTTATTCACTTCGATGACATGAAGTGCGCATCCAAAGACCTATTCCCCTTGCTTTTTTTTAACTCTCTGTCGTTATTGCCCATTTAAAACATAGGAATTGCCAAACCTAGATTTTAGTGCGATAAAGGATGAATAAAGAATGAGTAATTTGACTCTGATCAATCCCTTTTTGGAATGTGTCACGCGTCCTAACTATATTTGTACATCGCAGGAAGGAAGGACAAACACTATTGGTGAGTGGGACCTGGATGACACGGTGAGCAGGCTGAAATTCAAAACCGCTACCGCTCTTGAAGACTCGTCGATGTAACTTCTACAGTGCGTACCAAAAGTATGTGGACACCCTGGAATCGATTCTCAGGGGTCAGCTAAAGGCTTTTTGTGTTATGAAACCTTCACCATTCAACTCCTAGTGGTCGATAACCTACAATGACATTTTCGGCAAAAGATTTCGTTCTAACAAAATTATGTGGACACTTTTTGAAAAACGGCAATATCTTCAAAATCTGAAATCGGTAGGCCTACCAAAGTTTCTAGTAAGTTGAGCCATTCTGTTTGGCATGCTATGAATGGGGTCTGGATACATGTCTTGCAGATCTGTTCCCAACTAGCAAATTTCACCGACGTGTTAGGTCACTTGTGATATTACTCTTTTGTTCAATGACGTAGAGACCGCGAACCACGATACCTCTACGTTTTCAATAAGGATGAAGTCTGAGGAATACGCTAGCCGACTTGCCAATCAAAGCCGTTGCGTTTAGCATTTTTCCAAATGGAATGGTGTCAGGGACCTCCCCTGCAAAACAAGTGATTTGCGACCATGACTTTTCGAAAAAGGTTGTAGCCGGGACTCAAGCACCTCATTATAATCCTAGTCGTCTACCTGACATGTTGGCAAGCCAAACTTCAATGTCCCCCTCCTTTTGGAACCACCCCAGACCTTTGATGAACATCTTCCGAATTGTCTCTTCGAGCACATCTGCGGGTCCGACCAAAGTCTCTCCAAAAACCTCAAGACCCACCCGAATAGTAAGGAATAAGCTTCTTTCTGCCAGTCGAGTTGGTCTATGAGAGAAATTTCCACAGAAAGTCTTTTATACTAATTTTACCATTTCCACGAAAGCACTGTCTGTGTGGGTTCAAAGTATCATGTTGTGATCCTTTTTTGAGTGGGAATTCCAACCTTGCCAACCTGAACCCGCATTCATATACAAAGCCTTCTTCATCTTCTTTCGTGTCGTGTGCTCAATTGATTGAATGAGACACCGATTGGTCTTTTTTAAGATCGGGAAGATCATTTATGCGTAAAGTTGAGTAGTACGAAAAGAATAATTTGAGAAAATTAAGGCTATTCTTCTCCTGTTTTGAACAAGTAGCGATTGAGAACAACCCTCAGTCAAGGTCGAGAGCTTAGCATCAGGATTTCGGATTTCTCTCCAAACCTACGAGGACGCATGACTGGTTGACGTGCTATTTCGCAATAGGAAGGTTCAGAAGCATGGGGATCCCATTTCTGTGCTCGGTCTTCTTCAGAAAAACGCTTGCCGTGAAGAGGAATGATGCCAGAATAAGTAACGAAAGGAGAAGTAAAAATAGGTTAGGAAATCGATGCAAAAACTTCATCTGCCTCAGGGTGTCCACATAATTTTGATACAAAGAAAAAACTTTCCATGAAAAATAGTTCGCTAAGTTAGAACGAAATCTTTTGCCGAAAATGTCATTGTAGGTTATCGACCACTAGGAGTTGAATGGTGAAGGTTTCATAACACAAAAAGCCTTTAGCTGACCTCCTGAGAATCGATTCTAGGGTGTCCACATACTTTTGGTACGCACTGTAGTATATAAGTTGGACAACACTTGATA